CGGGTGAGATCTACATTCCCACAGGCGTTTCCTCCTCTTTCCCTCTCCTCTCTTCCTCCTTATTTTTTCTCGCTCTCTGGCTTCGCACCGGGAAGGCTTGCTCCCATCTCGATGTACACGTCATCCCTTCCGCTCAAACAAAATCTGTGAGAGTCTCTCTCCCCGATACACAGTTCAGACATGTCGTTCTTTATAGAAAAACGAGCCGGCTTCATTGAACACAACAGCTTGAAATGTTGACTGCTTGGACAGCCCGTTGACGGAATGTTTGTTTTTGTACAACATGATACTGTGTTCCATGACAAAGACAAAGGGCAAAATTTTTGTCACACCTTCAAGTTCCAGTACACGTGGCTTCATCCAAAATAATTCACGATATTAAACAGCCAAGGTAAAATGGTCTCTTCAAATTTGTGAAAATACATTAAGTGCACCTTCCTTTTCTTAGGATATATTTATTCAGATTTCAGTTCGCTTGCAGGACGCGCTCAATATTTTACACTTTTTTCTTTGCGTTCTGTCGCATATCATCATAATCTGCATAGTGCGTTATGCAATTGCTGAAATCTGTAATAATAAGCCGTGGACTGGACTGTGGATTTTTCAATAACCTGGATTGGAGTTTTGTGTTAAAAGGGTCCACTAGACAGTGTTTTCTTTTGCTACGAGATCAATAATAATTGATTTATCTTTCAATTCGTACGTTCTACTGGGAGAGAAAGTATGATTTCTCTAATTTTAGAACGTCCTGAAATATCGATTATGAGAGTCCGTGATCCAAGGTTTAGAATTTTGCGAGTAAGATGCTGTGGGTGTGATTTGGTATAGAATTACTGCGTGTTTCCAGGCGTAATATTCACGTTTTAGTCATTCGTCCCCGAAAATGAATACCGGCGTCTTCGCTGTTGTCCTTGCTCTTTTTGCTTCAGCTCCCGTTCAAGGAGTAAAGAAATGCGAAAAGATCGATACCTGTCGTTGTTTAACCGATGAAGGAGAAATAAACCTCTGGAGTCTTGCAGGACAGGCGCCGCCGAAACGTGCAAGGTAAACTATCCAATTTACTGAAAATAAAGCTGTAAAATGTGATGTCTTAATAACTTTATTTCACTACTAATAAGGCGTAATTCGGATACGAAGTTAGAAAATTACAACGAGACTGGCTTTGTTTAGATCTAAGAATTTCAAGAAAGACTCCCACTGCTATACAAGTATATTATAACAATAATTATTGGAAATGTTTTTCGACCATTGACCATAGTTTGGCTCACATTTTGTTTGCACCACAAGGTTTCAGGAGCGGAACAGTCATTTTTTTTACGTTCCTTTCGTCGTGAAATCATAGCTTTATTCTCATGGTTTCGCTGCGCTTATTTGTGGAGCGAAGAAAGGGGCATGACTGATCCTTCCATCAACGGTCGAATGTACACCGCATTTAACCTCTGATCTCTTTGCTCTTTGGTTTAGCTATCCGAGAGAAACCTGGGAAGTAAAAATGAGAGCGTGGTGTGGGTTTTTTACTTTTACTTAGTAAATATCGCGCCACATAATAATCAAAACAATATCTTAGGTTAGCGTAGAGTATCATTTCTTTTTCACACGTGCAATGTTAATCTTCACTCTTCAGCTATTCGAGAGAAAGCTGGCTTTCTGGAAAAATATCATCACTTCTTCCCGCGAATTCACAGCGTAAGCCCTGAACACGCTAGTCTCGCGCGGCGCGTAGAAAACACTGAAGGAATTTTTAAAACGCTCTTCATAATTTCGCTAGTTAATCCGGCCTATCCGATAATCCTTTAAATACCTGACTTGGACGACTGATTAAAATGTGTATTGTAGTATTTATTCCCAAGAGGTCACTTCCGATCCGCTGTTTTTAAAATTCAACTGAGCACGTTGGCCGATAGGATAGATATTGTAGCAAGTTAAAGTTTTATAAGGGAATTTTTTTAATTCACAGCGCATCCCTATTACCGTTCAATATTCACAAAGTCGAAAGCTAGTCCTAAAGAAGGCCTTATCAATATTTATCTATTCTATTGGCCGCTTTTTAGCAACCTGTGGCTAGAATGCCCGACACTTATTTGCATCTCATTTTCAGTATTCCCAAACTTCTTTCTACAAAACTTTTAAGAGGAATGAAGAACGTCTTTTACTAAAAGTTGTATCTAGATCATTGTAAGCCAGGATTCAATGAAGTTTCTATAAAGAATTATTTCTTGAAGAGTCGACTTTTTTTGGCATCCGTTGCCGTTACGTTGTGTTATTATGTCCAGATAAACGTATTCCTCTTCTATTCTTCTTTTGTCTGCTCCCAACAAAGTACTCGTAGCGTGGCTTTGATAGATCACCTGTCCCATTGTCCCGTTAGCTTTTTGTTAATAAGAGCGCGAATAGTAAATACGACGAAACTGCGGCCTTCTTTCTGCGTTAGGCAATGTCCACATAGCCTGGGGACACAGGCGTATTTCCGGTCGTCGCTTCTTTCCACCCATGCCAAAAA